TGGGCTTCCTGGTCTGGTTATTTCCCAGATGACTTCGTCTCTTCTCTTTTCTTCTAGCTCTTTCCTTTCATTTCTTTCGGTCAGAGCCATTATATGGCCGACCAGCTTCTTGATTTCTTCGTCCTTTGCCTTGTTTTCTTTCCGTAACTCAGTCATCTGAGTTAGGAGGTCTTGTATTTGGGCATTTGCTTGTTTTTCCCTTTGACGGCTCTCTTCTTTGAGCAGTCTGATCTGTTCGGTCAGTAGATCTACCGACTTATAGAGCTCATTTTCGTCTTTTTCCTTTGTTCTTTTTCTTTCTTCCTCGTCTTCTGAGGAGTCTGCGGTTGGCCTTTGCCGTTTTTTCTTCCTACCTACCTCCGGCTCGGCATTAGTTGCGGTGGAGATGATGTCCACTATGGGGGCTATTTCATCGTTTGTTGGGGGCGGGGCTACAATCGACTCGGTGGCCGGGCTCAGCTCTTCGTCGAGGGTAACTTCCATGGTGATCGAGACGCTGTCGTCTGTTTCCACCTCGCTTTCGTCTTCTTCGGCATCTTCTTCGTCCGGGATGAACGATTCGTCGTCTGAAGTCTCTACGATTAACGCGGATTCGGGTTTTAAATTTGAAGTAAATTCATTATATAATTTAATTGCAGATGTAACTGACGGGGTGGGTGACTTGGAATTGTCATCATCATCTTTTTCTTGTGATGTCACCTGCGTGACATTTCTTTTTAACATGTAATAGATGAAGTTTTACCTAGTTTCCACGTCTTGGATTGGCCGTTTGGGAACTTTGTTATGTTGTAATTGATAGTTTAAAAGCCTTTCTGAAGATAAGGTACTTTTTGAAAGGTGTTTTTTGCCGAATTGTCGAAAAAAACTTTTTATTTTATCTGTTTGTACACGACAGCACTTAAGTGCGTCCTCCATCAATACATTTAACGTATGATCAAAACAACTTAAATGTTTTCATTTCAAATCATCTTTAATAGCTTTGACCATATTTGAGGCTTTATCAGTTACTGCAAAATTTACTTTTCGGTTTAGACCCCACTGATTAATAATTTCACTAATTTCAACAGCGATGTTTTCTGAATTATGGTTTCCACAAAAATAGCAGCAGCCATTTTAAATTCTAAATGTTCGGTTAAATATTGTCCTGTTAATGCGATGTAACTCTCAGTTACTCCAGAAGTCAGTAGTAATACAGATATTTTCTACTTCTTTAACAACTTGTGATCTAATAATTTGCTTAGTTTTGATATAACATTCCTGAAGTAATGTAATGAACAAGTTTTTCTTGTTGGCGGTTTATATCCAGGAATCCACCCTGGAAACTTTTTAAAAGCTCGTTCTTCAACTATGGAAAACGGATGAAACGAGTCTTTGCATAGGTTTAGTAAATCCATATCTATTTCTTTCTTTTGTTCTAAACTAATATTTTTGTTAATGGAAGTATTCATCATCTTTTTAGTACTTGTAGTAGAAGTAGTCGAAATGGACAGAAATGCATCAGGAGAAGTTTTAATCATTGCAATATTCAGAAAGTGGATCGTATAAGCTGCATCTTCTGCAAGTGTGCATTTTTGGAAAATGAAATTATTATTCTTGTACTAGGTCAATAATTTTGACTAAGAAAAATAATTCTAAATTGAATATTTACAATAAATAAATTCGTTGACGAACTATCAATACAGATTTGAAATCGAAAATACAGACCAATCGTAAATCAAAACTCCTCTATTAATCAGAATACCTTGTTATAAAAAACAAAAGAAAGAGTTAAGATGTTAATTACTTCTTATAAATAAATAAAAAAAAGATTGTACTAGTGAAAATCAACCAGTACAACAAAAAGAAACTGATAAAGATGACTTAAGTCCATGGTGTATTTTTGATGAATTAATTGGACATGACTCGTCTAAACATACACCTGTATCTAGAGATGTAAAAGAAGTCGACATGTATTTGTCTGATGATATATTACCCACAAAAAATTTCAAACGGAGATTGGAACTGTCCATTACAGTGGTGGAAAAACCATCGCCATGTATATCCTTACCTAACCACTTTTAACTTAACCACATTTAAGGCATGTCTGTGATAATTCCAGGCCGCCATTAGAGCCTTCAACAGGTTGAAGTAGTCAGAGAACACAGAACACTGGCGCAGAAGGCAAAAAGACAAACTCAACAGGTGGGGAAAGATGACAGATGCCGCGAAAATTTGTAAATTGTAGTGTTTACTGTCCCCAACATTGAATGTATACGAATAAAATAACCTAATAACTTAAGTGATTATAAATAAACTATCATTCATCATCATTTTGGCTTTACAACTCTGTGTGTGTCCTAGCCTCCACAATAATTCTCTTTCAGTCGTCCCTATCCATCGCCTTCCTCCGCCAAGCACGTATTTCCATATTTCTCATATCTTGGTCTATGTTATCTAGGAATCTTGTTCTGGGTCTTCCTCTTCTTCTTTGACCAATAGGTCTATCAAGGAGCGTTTTTCTAGCTGGGTCGGTTTGCTCCATCCGCATTACATGGCCTACCCACCTCAGACGTCCTATCTTAATGTGTTTTACGATATCTGGTTCCTGGTATATTCTATAGAGTTCGAAGTTGTATCGTCTTCTCCAGACACCATTTTCATTTACCGCTCCATAGATTCGCCTCAGTATTTTTCTTTCGAAACATCCTAACATGTTTTCATTGCTTTTTGTTAAAGTCCAGGTTTCTGAACCATATGTTAGGACTGGGCGTATTATTGTTTTGTAGAGTTTTACTTTTGTATTTCTTGATATAACTGTAGATTTAAAAAGGAGATTAAGCCCAAAATAGCATCTATTAGCCGTGCAAATTCTGCGGTTTATCTCTGCGGTAGTGTCATTTTTCAGTATTGACGAGCGTTCCCAGGTATACAAATTCGTTAACTGCTTCGATGACGTCGTTTTCTATAACAAGTGGCCGTCGTATTTGTGGTTGCGTACCTATTTTCATGTATTTCGTTTTATTAATGTTTATTATTAAACCCATTTTTTTAGCCGCTTCCTTTAGTGCTACATACGCCTCTCGTGCTTGCGTTTTCCGTTCTCCCAACAATATTGATATCATCAGCATATGCTAGGATTTGCACAGATTTGTTATATATTGAACCGGTAGTTGTGATTTGTGACGTACGTATTACTTTTTCCAGAGCTAGATTAAATAGTATACAGGAGAGTGGGTCTCCCTGACGTAGCCCGTTATTTGTATTAAAAGGTTCAGAGAGTTCCCCCTGGATTCGTACTCTGCATTCAACTTTTTCAAGGGTTAGTTTGGTTAGACTTACCAACTGATTTGGTACTCCCAGGTCTATCATTGCTCTAAACAATTCTCTTCTATTTACAGAGTCGTAGGCTGCCTTGTAGTCTATAAATATGTGGTGCGTGTCTACACCGTATTCCAGTGTTTTCTCTAGAATTTGTCTCAGGGTTGAAAGCTGATGAATTGTTGATTTACCACCTCTGAAACCAGCCTGGTATTGTCCTATTATTTGCTCTGCATACGGTGCCATACGATGGCATAGTATATTCGAGAATATTTTATGCGCTGCATTTAGGAGCGTAATTCCTCGATAGTTAGAGCATTTTATAAATAAACCAATTAATGATAATTAGAAAATAGATGCTAATGTTTGTTTTAAATAAAAATAATGTTAAACAAAAAACAAAATGTCAACGCAATCCTGGGAAAAAGTACAAAAGAATTAGCAGCAACCACTCTGTCCATGATCCAACGAAAATAGTGATTTTGAAAATTAATGAACATGGTGTTTTATATAAAATGACTGAAGTCTTCAAGAGTTACAGTGTAAAAGTGATTTTACCCATTTCCATTGTATATATAATTCATGTAACAACCATAACTTTACATACGTTAAACTATACATGATCTTCAAATTAAAGCCAGAAATTTTTTAAATAACAAATTTTATTTTAGTAGTTGACATCCAAAAATGTTAATAGTTGACATACTGTCAACTACTAGAGTTAATATTATTATTACTGAGTTAATGCCTCGACAACTATGATCATTGGCATGATACAGTCAGGTACCGTGTGTGTAGTGTGTGTGTTGTTGTACTGATGTCGTATTGTCTTGTAAGAGACGCTATATATCCGACTCTGCGGTCCTCCGTGAGTACGATCGCACAGGATAGAAATTATTTTCATTCATTAATTTTTAATAAACGAAAATTTCTCCACCCAGATGAGATTCGAACTCACGACCTTTAGGTTTAAAGGTAGGCGCTCTTACCACTGAGCCACAGAGGGGGTTACTAGAGTTAATAAATTTGCATGATATTGAAAATATAAGTATATACACTATATACAATGAAAATTACAATAAAAAGTTATCTTTTTACAGTCTCGATATAATATGGTAGTAGTAGCACCAACCTATGTCAACTACTGGTATTTGTGTGTATGTGCGTTAGTATTTGACACCAAGCATAAATTTGGTATTGACACTAAAACAAACTTAAAACAGTACCAAGGTACTACGACACCTTAATATTCATATAATCCCACCAAGTTAAAATGTCGCAGAATAATTTTGTAACTACACCCTGTATATCAATATATTTACCTACACACCTGTTATACGTCAGCTGCCAGTTGTCATATGGTTTCAATCTTGATTATGGTTTTGAACTGTGATAAGTTACACGTTGGCCGGTAATGCAGATCCATGCTTACCGACAGTGACGTCAGAATTGGACTTTCACCATCTGGCCCAAGTAGCCCATACTCTGATGTAAGTCTTTAAATCAGAAACAAAGTAAACGTTCGAAATTGAGAGAATGATGCTGTTATTAAGACTGCGAGCAGAGAAAATCTATGATATGTAAGCTTATTTGAAAGAAAACGTACATTAGATCATTATTCATATATTTTATCATTACCATTATCATTGGGAATTTTTAAATCCATATTATTTATTTTAATTATAATCATATTTATTTTTTAGGTTTGTAAGCAATTGGTCGATGTTTTTAAAATTGATGGAGATCACAAATCAATGTTATTAGGAAATAATGCACAACGAGTAGCAGATATAATTAACACGTTTTATAAACTCTAATGTAACTAGTTTGTGCTCTTAAATTTAGAAATTATATAATTTGCTTCTAGATATTTGTGTAATTATTTATTATTATGATTAATTATTATACACAGTAAACTGAGTCTAGTAAGGCGCTCATTTTTCCCATAGCCACATATGCATCCGAAACGTGGACCTTAAAGAAAGCGGATAAAAATAAACTGGACGTTTTTGAAATGTGGGTATACCGCCGCATGTTGAGAATATCCTGGATTGATCATCGCACTAACGTATCGATATTAGAACAACTTAAAGTACAATATAGATTGCTTAAACAAATACAACAGAGATATTTGCAGTATTTTGGACACATTGCTAGAAGAACAGGTACGATGGAAAAACTGATAGTCGAGGGTAGAGTTAAAGGAAAGAGACATAGGGAAGATCTCCAAGCCGTTGGGTAGATCAAACAAAAATATTGATTAACCAAGGGTTACATGAAGCCGAACAACTAGCCCAGGACAGAGAAGGATGGAGGGAAATCGTGAAAAAACTGTAAATGCCTGATGGTGTCACCACATCCCAAAGCGGATTAGGACTGAGGAGGAGAATGTAATTATTATCAAATTATCATTTTAATAATAGCTTGTCGGTGCACTAGCAAGTATTAGTGATTTTTTTACCTAGAAGGTTATAAGTAAGTTCTTCAAATCGTTTAGAAAGAAATTTTCCAAGTATACAGTGCACATGAAAAAGCCATCTGTTTTAAACTTATACTCTGTATAATCAGTTTCGATGTATCTACAGCTCATCAGTTAGTCAGGTAGACCCCGATAAAGTGTCTACTCTAAGGGAGTTCTATTTTTTTATTCAAAAGTAATTTTTTTGAAACAAGATTACGTATATTTATATCTTACATATTCATCTACCTACCTATTAGTGTACTAATTAGTACTAAAAATATCATTTTGTATTTTTTAAAATTTGTTCAATATGTAACATCTACAGAAAATGAGATGTTCAAATTTCAAAAGGCTAAGTGTCATAAATTCACTCTCAAGACTCTATGGAAAAAATAATAAAAAAATAAAATTTAAAAAGAGATCACATATGTAGAAGAACAAAATGGCTTTTTATAGGTAGATCCTGTATACATAGCATAGTTTTTCTAAAGCACGTTATTAAGAAAATAGCCAACAACCTTTCAACTCATGTAGTCTTTATAGATCTGACAAACGCATAAAATAGTATATCACTTGCAATGCTCTGGGTAGCAATGGAAAAACAAGAAAGAAATAAAAGAATATAAAAGCAGTACAACAGTTTTACAAAAATATGACGGTAAAATTAAAACTGGAAATAAATTAACTAGAGAAATTCCTATTAGTAAGGGTCTAAAGTAAGGCTGCTAAATAGAACCTACACTCTTCAAAATATCTCTGAATCAGGCGCTCTCAGTGTGAAGAAAAAAATGCTGCAATATGGGCATTACAATCGAAGCCGAGAGATTTTACACGATACACTTCTCTGACAATCAACCACTAGGGCCTTACAATTAATATACAGAAAACCAAGTATTTAGTTTAGAAAGTTAGAAACCTTCAAATACTTGGTCCAAGTTCGTCAAAAGCAGGCAGTAACGAAGAAATACATTCTAGGATTAGCCAAGCAAGATCAGCTACTAGACAGCTACATGGACTATTGTGACATAATAAAATAACAAAATAAAATGAAAGAAGACTTTTTAAAACAATAATAGAAAGTATTGGGTTTTACAGCATCGAACTTTGAGACATCAATTAAAGAAACAAATTAAAAATTAAGGCCATGGAAATGGATTATTGGAGACGATGTTGCCAGCACACTATACTTGATAGGGAGAGAAACGTAGATATTAGGACAAAAATGGAAATTGACCTAGACATAATAGATACTATATATATATACCCGGTATTTAGGCGGCACACGCCCTTCCGGTAGGGATCTATGGAGGAGTACCACCGAGACGCAAGCCCTTATCTCTTGCCGTACTGCTCCACCATAGACCGATCAGATACCAGCATATTCTAGACTAAGCCGCAGATTCATTTAGAACTTTAAACTGCTGCGTTAGCCTTTTTGTTTTCTGTACACCGAGCTGGGAATTAAACTGACATCTCTCGCAGCCTAGCGAAGGAGAAGCCAGCCTCCTAGCCCCCTTGGCTATCCGATCGGCCCATAATAGATACTATCGAAGCTAAAACTGCAAAGAATGTCTAAAAATAAATAGTTAAAAAGATAAAAAAAGTGGACTCCGCCTACTAGAAGAACACGAGTAGACCAAGAGGGTCATGGAGAGAAAGTGTTGAAGATGCAATGACTGCCAGAGATTTAAAAACTTAAGAAGAATATATATATATATATATATATAATTATATATATATAATATATATATATATATATATATATATATATATATAAATATATATATATATATATATATTATATATATATATATATATACATATATAAATTGTTAAATATACTGCAAAAGGTAACAAACTGATTTATATTAATTTATTACAAAGTATTAGTGGGCCACCTAATATAAAAGTGGTTTCGGGAAGACAAGACATTGTTAAATAAAAAATGAAAATAGCCTAAATACCATGGTTAAGTTGACTTTATTTTTATTGACAATGCTCGCACAAGAAAGAAACCGTTGTACTTCTCCACATAACCTACGCAAGCTTTGTGGGCACAGCAGGTAGCATCCAGAGCATGTTACTTATATCTTAACACTCATTTGAATAGGAATACGAATGTTGGGCAACTAGCGTCACTAACATAACTATAAGATTATTCTTCAAATTGTAGTGGACGTTTCTCCTTTACTGCCCACTTCCTTTTTTAATATCTCTTTTCTGCTTTGCTTGGTACTATGTCTGTGTTTTTTCTTTTACAGAAAACCTTTACTTTTTTTCTTTCTTTTTCCACTGCAATCCGTCTAATCTCCTTTTTCCTTTATTTTTTTTACTGCTTATTCTGATTTCTATTTATATGAGTTTGAAGCCAATACAGCAGAAGTTCCTTTTTCTGCTTGTTTTTTAAACAGCTTTGGTTTTTGTCAAAGAAATATTATGCCTTGGGCTTACAGCGTAGGATGGTCGTATTTGTCAGCTACAAGAAGGCCTAGGTTATGGACTGGAAATTAGTCTTTATTGTAGTTTTACTTCTTGCAGAGGGATTTTTTGCCAGCGTTAGAATTATCTTGTAAATATTTCAAAAGTCGATCTATGAATATATCCATTCTTCTTCAGATGCAAATCCACTAATGGATGTTAGCGATCACATTTTTCATTAATTCTCTATTTCTTGCAATATGTATCAGAGATTGTATGTCGTTAATCCCTGTCCATTGCCTTATGTTTCGGAGCCAGGACATTTTCTTGCGTCCCATTCCTCTCTTGCCTTCAATTTTACCCTCGATTATAAGTTGGAGGAACTGGTATTTTTCATTTCGCATGATGTGACCTAGATACGCCGTTTTCCTTTTCTTGATGGTTTCGAAATGTTGGCGTTCTTGGTTTATTCTTTTAAGGACATCTATATTTGTGATTTTCGCTGTCCATGGTATTTTTAGGATACGGCGATAAAGCCACATTTCGAAAGCTTCTAATCTGTTTATATCCCTCGTTTTGAGTGTCCAGCCCTCTACGCCATATAGCAGCACTGACCATACGTAGCACTTAGTAAACCTTAGTCTCAGTTGAAGATCAAACTCTGAACAAGTCAGTACTTTTTTGAATTTTACGAAAGCTTGTCGAGCTTGCTCAATGCGACATTGAGCAAGCTCGACAAGCAAATATATCGATTGACCTATGAAAATATCCATTTATTGACATGGCTAGAGTTGCTGCCTTTAACAAACCTTCTTCAAGAAATCAGCAAACTTAAAACTGGTATACAATCCTTCAAGGGTTGTTTTTGAGAAAATTTTCCATGGCTGAGACGTAGAATGCAATAAATCTGCCCATAAACAAGACATCTAAAGACTGCATTTTATAGCTACAATGCGGTGTAAAGAAAGGTCGGTGGTGTGTCTCTCTCTTACATTTTCAATAAATGCTTGGTTTTTTGCATGGTTTGAATGGAATTATAAGATTAGCAAGACTGGGTTAAAAGCTGATGGTTTGGGATGAATCAAAAGATAGTCAAAGAAATGAAAATTTTGCATTTATGCAGATAGGTCACAGACAATACTAGCTCCAGGTGGAGCAACATTCGAAAGTTCTGCTTAAATCCTAAGTCTTAAGAAAATCCCAAATGGCGAAATAAAATTTTCTCAATCTGAAAAATATACAACAAAGTTTGATATCTCACTGCTTTCAGTCAATGTCAAAGCACCAACCTAACGCCTAACCTTGAGAGCAAAGAAAACGTTACAACTGGACAGTATATCAAGAACAATTTAGGAGCTCAAACGTATTGAATAATATAAAAAAAAACTTTAAGGATAAATGGGAGTTGCATTAGAAAAACTATTGCTCTAATAACCTCACACGATACAAACTGTTACGTCTAAGTATTTTGACAGTTTTGTGGCACCAAGATTATAATTTTACAAGAAACGATATTGTGACCATTTCTAGACTGAAATTCGTACATGAAAGCTTCACTTAACACTTATATAAAATCGGTGCATTCAACACCAAACTTTGTGAAACTAGCAAGGTGGTTTGCGACTTGGATCACATTTTTTATGCTTGTTTTAAATTTGAAATACAAAGTCAGTAACTAATTATTAGTTGATTATTGCAAAAAGTATACCTCTCTTGTAATATACTTTATTTGCTATCTGAATGTCACGGCTGCGCAACCTGAGAGAGTGGTGCGGATGTACATCAAATAAACTTTTCAGAGCAGTCGTCTTAAAAGTCCGAATATCTATTGTCGACCTCCGCCGCGGAGGTGGCACTTGAAGAAGAAGATTTGTTATGTATTAAATTATTCTTAAGTTTATAGTTAAGTTTATTAAAAGTTTATAATATTTAAGTTAGAATTAAGCTTGTTAACTCTGTTAAATCGCCAAATATTTTACCCTTTTA